CATCTCTTTCGTCTGTCTGCTCGCTTTGGTAAACGCGCTCAGAGCATCCGCGACTTTCCGTCAAGCTTCTACCGTTGTGACATCAACTTCTGCATCCTCATCCTCATCACCAGATGACCACACCCCAAGCATGACGTCACCAATATATGTGCAAACCCCACCGTCATCAAAGCCTGTACAATCCGAAAAAGAGAAGACATCACACGGAGCGTTGAACCAGAAGGAGATACAAGTGATCAAAGCGGTGACCCTTGTGTGCGCCATTTTCTTGCTCTCGAATGTCCCAGTGATCCTCAACTCTCTCGCGCGCCTCGCGGTGTCGGACTTCGACCTGGGCCGGCGGTTCCACTATCTGTTCATCGTCTGCTCCACCACGGGGACGTTTTGCGGCTATTTCAGCGCGGCCATTAACATTGTGGTCTACTTCCAGTTCAATTCAAGGTACAGAGACTGCCTCATCTCTTTCATCTGTGGAAAAACTGGAGGGTCAAATAAGAAATAACATCTCTTTAGAGTAAGACTGAATTGGAGCGAACTGCGCCATAATGATGTAATATTAAAATATCAGTCATTGCTCACAGTTCAACTTTTAGCCTTTCTGCTTACAAACTACAAATCAAGTTCATTTAATAATAATAAATGCATATTTATATACCGAACATCAACGCTCTAAAGCATGCTCTTGGCGCTTTACAACTAATGCTATCCCATATTATACAAGCACACCCTAGAGCACGACTTAGATACACTCTCGACTTCACGGGAAGTATACCAGGCAAGATGAAGATTACATGCGCTCTATAACTAACTAAAAAGATCTTATCACTATCTATAGCCGGCCACTTATCTCCACTAGGGTAAAGTGGGGGAAAGCGTGCAAAATCCCTTTCTCAAAGACACAACGTCGGGCCCCTAATGGAATTCAAACTCTGGACCTTGTGGTAATAGTCCGAGAGCCTAACATTTTGAGTTTCCAAAGAAACGTTGTTGTATTGTTTTTCTTATGAAACATGCAGTAACTTTGAATTTGAGAAAATCTATAGCGTTTTACATAGATAGCCTCAGACCCACAAACCTACGACCACTGTGACCACTGTTAGTTTGTGGGTAAAGAGAATTCTAAATGTTGACGACATATGATTAGTTTGCTCAGAACCGGCTTTGCGAAAAATCTCGGAGGTCCCGTGTGCAAGTTATGCACGTTAAAGATCCCTTGTTGGTCCAGAATCGACATGAGTAGGCTTCGGCCGCCATCAAAGCAACGTTCAAAATTAAACACACACACACACACACACACACAAACTGAGTTCGACTCCTCGTGTGAGAAGAAATTTTACCGAGCATCCCAGTCTTCCCTCTGGGGCGCTGTATCCCTCTCAGTCCTGACTGGCCCTGACAGGCACGATCGAAGCCCGCTCTATCCCTGAATGATCTAAATCATGTTGATTGGGGGAGGGGGGGGCGTAAAACGCCTTTTAAAAATCTAAAATGGTGCCAGATCTTGTGTGCACTAAGAAAATTGTTCCAGTGGCGCTCATATGACCTTATGCAGTTGCGAGCGCCGTAAAACCTCTACTAAAACTAAACTAAAAGTGTCGGTGGCCTAGTGGTTAGGCTCTCGGACTCGCAACCGTAAGGTCGTGGGTTCGAATCCCGTCAGGGGCCCGATGTTGTGTCCTTGGGAAAGGCACTTTACACTTATTTTCCTCACTTCACCCAGGTGAGAATGGGCTATAGACAGCGAAAGATCTTGTCAGTTTGTTAGTGTTTGAGCGCTTAATCGGCTGCTTGCACTGTATGCTTCCCGGGAAGCTGAGAATGTTTCGGAGTGTTCTATGGTCTGCTGGGGTAATAATATAGTGTAAAGCGCATAGAGCCTGCTGTTGAGCGGGGATATGCGCTATACAAATGCTATCTATTATTATTATGACCCTCGTTTCGAAGAGGGAGACAATTTGGTAAAAGCGACGGTTTAAAAATACTTTGAGTTGTTCTCCCTGGGTAGAATTCTGTCTGTCTGCCACCCTTCCCAAAGCGTTGAGTCGAGTCACCAACTTCAAAGAACTGAGCCGACGTGTTGAGATCGAGTATCCTTGTGGACAGCAACTTTTTTCAACGACTCTGTATGCTGATATAACATGGTTTTTTTAAATTTTTTATTATTAAAAAAAAAAGTAAAGTACATGTGTATCTAGGTGTCTTACAGACCCAGAGACAGTTAGCTCATTTTGGAGACCAGTTCCGACATTGTCTGACAAGACCAACCCAGGCTGAGATTGATACAACATTCAAGCAAAAATACAGAGATACATGTATTCATTTTTTTAAAATTTCCCCTCTCGGAGATCGAACTCGGGTCTCATGTGTGCGACAGGAAGGCGCTTAACCACTACAACACAGACGCCGGTGATGTAAGGTGTGAATAGCAGAATTATGTATCGCCCGCATACTCAGTCACGTCCAAAGTGTCTTGTCCAAGAGTAAGAGTACAACAACTGACCACGTTACGTGTTCGTCTCAAACGAAAATGATCACGGACTTCTCTATCAGTCTCAAAGTTAAGAAGTGGCGATGGTCACATGATTGGTTGTTTTGACTTAAGATACATATGGCCAGAGTTTGAAGGGAAGAAAGCAAAGGAAAACGGAAAAATGGAAGAATATCATTTTTGTGGAGATTCAGCTGATAATGATGGTTTTAACATGAACATTTAAAGCACGCGATAGGACTTAAAAACCAAAAGCTTCTATCAAACATGACTTCAAGCCACCACAGTGCCAACATTATTTTCAAAAGATTGATTTTTATGCAAACCATTCCGCAGAAGAGAAAATGCCGTGCAAACAATCCAAACAACGAATCTCAAGAACACAGAGCTGGGGGATGGAACCACGGCTATATGCACTAGAGTCTACTATTTTAATTTTAGAAAGAGTTTTGCGGCACTTGCAACACAATCAGGCCATAAAAGTGTCGAAGATTAGAGGTGTTTCAAGAGAGTAACAAACATAAAAAGAAGGAGGAGAGATCAGGAAGATACTCGTAGATGTTTGATTGGAAAAAAGGAGCAAACCATACCAGAGCACCCGCCAACCACCCACTTTCCTAAAAAAGAGTCTAGAAAAGGACAGATTCTGCATAACAGAACGCTGGACAGAAGACAGAAGGGAATAAGAAGAAAAGACGCTACTCTTGCGTCAGAGAGGTGCATTCATTACAAAGTTATATCAGCAAAGTACCTGGTTTGGAGAAAGTTGACGTACAAAATGTCGTTTCACAACATGACAAGCTTTTTGGAATGCAATATTCTTTGAATATCTTGATTCCGACTCCGAATGATCTTATGATTTTGATAGAGCAGACAGATAGAATGTTTGGTATCTTACCTCATGGTCTTAGTAACTCAGAACGGCCAAAAATATCAGACAGAACTTGGTAATTCTGAGGGGACGAAATGTCACCTCACGGGTGGTTGGCGGATGCTCTGTTGTGGCTTGCTCCTTCTTTCCCATCATACATTTGTCGTCTTTATCTCTCCTCTTTTATCCGTGTTTATTACTCTCTTGCAATATCTATAATCTTCGACACTTATAATATTTTTATGACCTTATCCAGCCTTATTGTTTTACAAGTGCTGTAAATCTCTTACTAAAACTAAACCAGAAACCTAAAAATGTCACCCCCCACCCCCCAAGGCTGGCGAGTGACTCTTGTCTTTGTAGTGAGAGGTATCGTGCGAGATTTTTCGGCCTCTCCTTTCAGAAATCCATTCACCTTTCAATAAACAAATTCTGAAAACAGAATTTATTATCATTTACCAATTTTATTTCACTAAAAATACAGTTTTGACATCACGTCTACTCAGAAACCACCATAACGTTATCATTACCGCGTAGAGAAAATACGCAGACACGAAAACTTCATAGAACAATTTCAAAATAAATAGCCCTCATTTGACTCGCTGGTAGCAATGTCGTTTGAGTGCTTAGAGAAAAGGGTAGAAATTATAGCAGGACAAGGAACATTGTATCCCAGTCTACATTTTGGTTGAAGTAACACAAAATGTTTATTATTTAAGTGGCACGAAGGTATTATTTTGAATTGCTTCATAGATTTTATTACTAACAATTTAGGAATAAATACCGGGAATCTACTCCGGTGTTTTCAATAAATACAGCCTAAATTCCCCGTTCCATTGTGTGGGATATATAACAATACATGATGTACTTTTAAAATGTCTGAGGAAACTATCAAGAAACTGAAGGTTATCCGTACATTTTTTTTCCAATTAGTATTTTAATACAAGTTTTTGTTCCCGACAGAAAAAAACATATGCAGTATCGAATTTTTATGTTCAATTCTGTGTAGGCTCCCCATTACTCATGACTGGGTAAATGGTGTCTTTTACAAGTATTATTTCCATGTGAAGACAACATTTATTTTCCTTTAGTTTTTGTTCTGTTATTTCGAATCTTCTTTGTCTGCATTATCGAATATGTCTGTTGTAATAAATCATAGAGCTGGCTATAGGAATTTGTTTGTTTTAGTTGTCTAGACATTGGTGACTTGGAAGAAAGAGGGAATGGGCAAGGGAAAGAGGGGGGGGGGGAGGAGGGGGCGTGCCTGGAGAAATGAGTCTCTCAGCCAAAAAAAAGGCAAACTGGTTATTTGTCAAACAATTTGGCTAAAAGTTGCGGTGAAACGAGCTAAACAATAAATACTTATTTAAACACTGACAAGAAAATAAATGAGCAATTGAAAAAATTTGACACTAATAAGCTGAGGTTATTCTCAATACGTCACGTTTCTGCCCCTTTAAAAGCCCTCGACATTCTAGAACAGCGGCAGACTTTGGTAGTGACGCCTCTATGGTTCAACTGAGCAGGATGTTTGTCAACACGACAGTCAGAACAGTAGTCAACCTGGTGAACACAGACACATCGACAGTCATCGAAGCAGTTATTTTATTTGGCTTTTCGTTGCCCATAAGTCTCTTTGGGCTTGTGTCTAACGTTATCAATATTGTTGTGTTTCTAAAAATAGGTGTGAAAGACCCTGTATCTGTGTCTCTGGTCGGATTATTCGTGGCCGACTTCGTCTTTCTTCTGTTGGCCTTTTACCGCCCAGTTGCTGAGCTTCTGGTCTGGTCGGGTGCAGCCAGTTCGTGGGTCATTCACCCCAAAACTGTGCAAGTCATCGCTGCTTCTTATGTATCTACTTTCTACCTCGTATCCACGCTGCTAACCACGTACATATCCCTCGCTAGATGTCTCTGTGTCGCTCTAGCGTTCAAGTTTCAGCGGATCTTCACCCTGACACAAGCGCGCCTTGTAGTCGTCTCCATCTACGTCTTCGCTGGGCTGTCTCACGTGCCGCAAATACTCGCCAAGACTTTGGTCTGGCGTTACAAGGCACACCCAGACAACACAACGTCGTCATTCCTCGTACTGACAAAATCCTCCAACTTCGAGTCTCTCTGGGCATTTCACAACATAGTCAACAGAACTGTCGTACCTTACTCCTGCCTTGCCATCTGTGTCCTGTGTCTGATAGTCTTGTCGGTCAAGTTGAGGTCAGCCTCCGAGTTCCGCTCCCATGCTACGACTGCGACTACGACAACGACAACGACGGCGACTCCGAATTCGACTCGGAATAGGAATACGACTGCAACAAATTGCGCAGACGACTTCTCTCAAACTTCTGAGAAACCGAAAACGAAACCACAAACTACCACATCCAACCTGAACGTGAAAGAGATCCAGCTGATGAAGGCTGTGTTTCTTCTCTGCGCTATTTTCGTATCTACGGCGACAATCAGGGCTGCAATGGGCCTGGCTTTGGCCATTTTCCCCCAACTTCAAACACACGAGAGGTACAAAAACGTGCACACCATCTGCACGAGTCTTGTGGCTGCCTTCATGGCTTTCAATTGTGCCGTCAACTTTTTCATCTTCTACTTTTTTAACACGAAATACAGACAAACTCTGGGGGTTTTCTATGAGAAAGTATAGCTGAACTATTAAGACATTGTCGGAGTATTTCTTTTCTTTTCTTTTTTTTTTTGGATTGCATTTTAGAAAATCTATAGGACAAAAAAACCCATTCTGAAGGTTTTATAAAATTTTATTTGTTCATTTTAAAATTTATTTTTGTTCATTTATTTATTCATTTATTTGAACCAGCATCTGAGCCCCAGTAACGTTTGCAGAAGATGACGTAATGTATTGTAGAAAGCACAGGAATTCTTATGCCAAAGACATGTGGTGTGCGAGTAGAACTCTATACACGGGTAATTTTCGCCAATTTGGAATAAGACAGCGGACTACTCGCATCAAGCGTGAAAGGACCCAAGAGAGTGCCACCACAAACACTCCCACACACACATACACATATACACACACACACATATACACACACACACACACTCACACACATACACACACGCACACACACACATATACACACACAGACACACACATATATACACACACATATACACAAATATATAT